TTAAACTGGTTGAATTATAGGAAATCTGAGTGATATTTTACAACCATAACTTTATGTAACCCATTATTTATTTCATTTATAGTGGTTTCTACTGAAGAGTGAAGACACTATCTTAGTTGGTTTTGCTTTTCATGTGCTTATTGTTAGAACATAATTACAATTTTTTGATGGCCCCCAAACATTTTGAAAATGCCCCCATTTTTTAGACCGTGGGGGCCAAAATTGCCCCCAGAATATTTCGTTAATTTCATACCCTGGTCCAGTGTTTTTCCATTCATATAGCTACACCGTATCCCATTCTGCTTTTGCGTCCTAAGGCTGCCTGAAAGTAGCAGGGATAAGGAGCTGGCCTCCAGTTTGTTTTTTCCTCGACCCAATGATGATGATGTTTGTGTGTGTTGGATGTTTCCATTCACATCTCCTACAACTGCAGAGCAACGCTGGCACACAGTTCCATTCTAATAAATAACTCTCTCCGGGCTGCTGTAGCTGATCGTCACACCAGTAACCGGCAGGTGTGTCTTCCAGCTCCGGTGTATTAATTTGCGCTTATCATAGTAACCCATTTGTTATGCCTACCTCAGTATTTGTTTAATGTGTTTTATATCATAGACCCACAAATATTTATCCATATCTCATAAATATCAGACTTTGATCCTCTGCCTGACCCTGCCTGTGTCCAAGGATATCCATTTATTTATTTATAACGGTCTGGGCTATTTAATTGATCTACAGTATATGTTTGCGCTATTATTAATACAAGCAGGTGATTTTAATACAAAGTAGTAACCACTGTATGTGAATGCATTACTGGGTCAGACCTGCGCAACACTGCATTCGAAATAAACTGTAATAAACTGGAGCCTCTGTGCTGTGATTACCAGCTGTGAAACATGACCCTTCCATTTAAAATGCCTAGTCATTCTTCTGAGGTCATTTTGGTGAAAGTAATGCAAAAGTACTGTATCAAGTAAGTCAATACAGAGAATAGTATTGTATAATGTAACTAATTATTTTAAATGAAGGTAACTAGTAATATGTAATATATTACATTTTAAGAGTAACTTGCCAAATACTTGTCCCGGGTCACAAACGTTCTCATTCTACAGCTAAACAGTACACTAAAATATGCTTCTGACAAGATTTGAGGCGAGAAATAGGATATGCAGTATCGGAATCTTGATTCATATTTAATCAGCACTGCCTACTTTGACAGGTGGACTGCAGTTCACAAGAAGTCTTTGACATTAGCTGCATTTGAGACTCCTCGGCTCTGGTTGGTTGTTTCCTTCACATGCAGTGGATTCATCAGAAGCACTATGAGCAGAGAAAGATGATTTTTTTCCCTTAGGTTATCTGTCTCATGCTGCTGTGTGGACAAAGTGACAGTTTCAGCAAATATAACAAAAACTTATTCATATAATAATTACGAACTGTGGCTTTAAAGCTCCAGTAGTTATTTATAGACACTAGAGGCCCAAACTTTTGCACAACCTTCCATCCATTCTTTAACAAACGAGGACCTCTGCTGGACACCATCCCAAACTGCAGCTTGTGTTTGACTCTGGGACTGACTCTTTCCTTGAATGTTTCAGGATGAAGGAGCCAGAGAAAGGGAAAAAACAAGACATGGCTCTGAACTCGACCTCTGAAGCAGAAAAGAAAGAAGAGCCTTCACCTTCTCTTCAGACTGAGCCCTAGCTGACAGCGCGGTCCACTTCAGGGCTTCAGGCCACACGCTTGCTAAACACTCTGTTTCATCTCGCCAATGATGTCACCACTGATCCATGTCTCCTTGGGGGACAAACAGGAAATAAACATTTTATATAGTAAACTGGACACAGGACAAATCACCTGCTGCCCTGATCAATTCACTGTTTCCAGGATTGTTTCCCCCACCTAAATTCAGTGATGTTTGCAGTCTTGGTATCAGATGGGGTTCTTTTTTTTTTTTTTTTTTTTTTTCAGTTTGCACATGAAGCACTTGGTGTAAATACGTCAGTCTGCTGGCTCTGAGTCGTATGTTTGCTCTTGCAAATGCCTGGGATGCATGATTGGTTCATGTAAATACTCTGTAAAATATACTTTGTTGATTTTTTTGTTCCACGTTTGGCCGTTATTTCTTCTTCCTGCCTTGAAGCACACTGCACTGTATGACATGTAATAGAAACATTATTTACCTGTTGATTTATACCCAATGTAATATTATTATTTTCTTTTGTCCCTGGACTTGAGCACTGACACACAGAAGTTCCTATCAAATGAATAAAAATCTATGATGAAGGTCTTAAGGGATTTAAAGTGTTGAGTATAAACTGCTGCTGTCCAAACATTATGTTTCTGAACCCGATTTAGTGCATTATACTGTAAATGGATGAGTTATATTTATGTACATGTGTTCATTCTATTGGAAAAAGTGATTTTGGTGCCATAAATCATATTTGATTTTTTTTCTCTGTACATAACTCGTCAACATGGGCACCTGATTAAAATACTTGAATGGCAACCTCACTTGCCTTGATTTCTTTATTTTGTGTGTGGATGTGTGCATTTGTTTGTGTTGTTCTGACCGCATTTTCCAACAGTTCTTTACTGATGTTATTGTTATTGCCTCTTGTCTCATTTCTGTTTGCAGCAGATTAATTTGATTATAAGACTTCCAACTAACTGCATATTTTGTGGCACTACATGATTTTGCCAAGTAGGACATGCTCCTGGATCGAGTAAACTTGCCAATTGACTAGAATATTATTGAGTTAGCTTGCTAACTAGGTAGGCAATGCTAACGCATAGGCTTGCCAATAGGCTAGAATACTGTTCACTAACATTAAGTGTAATTATTATATAATTCTGCAGTTGCAAAGACCTGCAATGGACACATTTTCCCTCCTTTGTCATAGCCCATTCAAAAGAATGTTTTTGCAAGATTGCAGTGCTGGTGCCAATCCAGGACCATCACTGCCATAATGATCCTGGATAATTTCCCTATGTTGATCCAATACCGCCATCGTCATGTTGACAATGGATAATTTGTATATGTTGATCTTGGACCATCATTGCCATGTTGATCCTGAAGAGAATTGCTAATGGTGATCCAGGACCATCACTGCAATGCTGACGTTGACAAAAAGAGATTATCCAGAATCAACGCGGTGTTGATGGTCCTGGATCAACATACACAAATTGTCCAATCAATTTGCAATCTTGCCAGACAAAACAGAAAAAATGTTTTCATGTCATTGGCTATAAAAAAGGAGGGAAAATTTGTTAATCGCAGGTATTTGCAACTGAAAAATGATATTATCCTTGTATCTTTGTAAGTTAAAAATGAACTAGCCTATTGGCAAGGCTAAATTACTTATTTAGTAAGCTAACTCGCTAATATTCTAGCCTATTGACTAGCTTACTTGTTAGTATAGCCTACCTACTTAGCAAGGTAACTCGTTAATATTCTAGCCTATTGACAAGCTTACTTGTTAGCATAGCCTACCTACTTATCAAGCTAACTCAGAAACACTGCAGTAGCTCATTTTATTCATTGTAACTGATGATTTTGTTCAATTGTATTAACTTCAATTTGGAAAAATAGCTTAGCTCAGAAGATGTACAAAGGATTTTTGAAAGAAGCACAGTATATTGCTATGTTTATTTTGGTATAACTGTCTGTGTTTGTAGCTGTATATTTAACTTTTATTTTGCTTAGCCTCGCATCACCAGGCTCGTTTTTATTCACTCTGAATTCTGTCTGGATTCTGGTTCCGGTCTAGACAGTGGATGCGGAATTCACCAAATTCACCAAAGTAAAAGTGTTCACCAAAGTAAAAGTGTTCACCAAAGTAAAACTTTAAATTCTGGCGCACCATCGATTTGGGGTGATGAGGGGTGTAAGAAAATCGATTAACTTAATGGCTTGGAGCTTTTCTTGTAAATTATATTCTTTAAATTAAAAGTTTCACTGCATTTTTATTAGCTTGGTGCTTTTATTTTGACGGAAAGGCGCATCCATCGAATTCCGGATCCTGTCTCACTCGCCCTGGTTCCGGTTTCTTACCAAAACGGCCACTAACGGCCCCAGACTATATTTTGTTGCCTGTCTTGACCAGGAATCCCTGGCAGAAAGGTCTTAAACAACAATAATTTGTGATTACACTTAGATGTGAGACTTCAACATTTTTTTCTTACTTTATGCCAGAATTTTAATCATGTGGGTGCAGAAAGAAACGAGAGGGATGAGTTTGTGGATTAAAGCCTGTTGTGATGCAGTGCCAACTGGCAGGCTTACCTCAAACAGTGAACAGGCTGTGGCAAACGATTGCAGTCCTTCCTCTCACTGGCCAACAGAAACAAAGTGGTGGACATTTTCACACCTGCTGCAGGGAGACAGAAAGAAGGAGGAAATTAGATATTTGATACACAATTCAGAGTCACCAATTAACCTGCATGTCTTCGGACTGTGGGAGGAAGCCGGAGTACCCAGAGAAAACCCACACTGACACAGGGAGAACATGCAAACTCCACAGAACACACAGAAGGGCACCCCCACCCTGATGTCTCTATTTAAGCATGTTTAGCAAAAATATGCTGTACATAACTCTATCTATTTATACAGTAGAACAATTAATTATTGTATATTTATATAAGTGCAGTGGAAAGGTGAAGCATAGATGATGATAATTCAACTGTTTCCTATCAGATTATGAGGCTTTCCCATGTTTCTTATTCCATGACTACCCATCTTACATGTAGATGTCATTGTGAAGACACGTCCATCATCATTTTTGAAGTCCTAATGATCCAAACTAGTTCAAATACATAGTAAAAGTTACTACACGTAAAACAAACACAAACAGCAGTGCCGTATGTCCAAAATTAGCTCACTGGGCCTTGAGCAGGTATTTCTGGCTGTAACTGGATCATGTCCCTCCATGCTCTAAAGCACAGCCGTGTGGACAGACTCAAGTAATGCACACTCACACACACACACACAATTTAGGCCACTCCCTCTCAAACAGGAAGTGAAATGTGGAACCGTAACTGAAGTACAGAAGAAAGATCTCACATCTGGAGCCTCTAGGTCATTTGAAGCTCACAGAGGCCTCCACTGCTGCCAAAAAGGTAGGGAAGTTTTCTAATCAAGCAGCTGTTTTCCACATCCTCTCCTACTTTCATGTTTAAAAACAGACATACAGACAGAGACAGACAGATGGGCAGCTGTGGCTTTTTCAGACTCTGCTCTTCAGCACACACTGTTTGCTTTATTACGTGTCACATCATTTAGTTGGTGAAACAGAAGCGGTAAGATGTAAAAGACTACTCAGTGAAGTGTGAAGTGTTTGTGTCTTCTGCTATGACTTCATGGTGTCTGTTTCACTCTAGGACTGCTGGGTAATGGCTGCTCTCAGGGTTTTCCTCACTCTGGCTGTCTGTCTCCTGTTTGGTCATCAAACGTTTGCCAGAAACGACGCTCCCTGCCAGCTCTCTAAATGGAATAACAGCTTCAACACCTTTGTCAAACGCCACATTCGCTCTGGTACTCCTAATTCTCTGGACCAAAATGAATGGCACAACTACATCAAGAATAACGGTGGCTGTGACAGACCCACCCAGTCCTTCCTCCACAAAAGCGAACTGGACAGGGTGAAGGCCGTCTGCACTAAAAAGGGGGGAAAGGTGTACAAGGACAACCTGTGCATCAGCGAGCAGCCTTTCACTTTTGTAACTGTGAGGAGTTATCAGGGAACATGTGGTATCAAGAGCGTCCAAGAGGAAACCAAACATCTGATCCTGGCCTGTGAGGAGCTCGGCAATCAGTGTCTGCCAGTCCATTTTGAGGGAAACCCTGAAAATGTAAAGCCAAATAACAACGCCAGAGGCTGTCAGGACCCGGAAACTCGTGCCAATGCTCCCAGCTTCAAAGCCATGACGTGGCTCGGGGTTTTATCAGTTCTTCTTGTTTTTATTTATGGCTATCAGAATTAACTTGAGGAACTAGATGAGACGATAATTCTCACAAACACATCTGAGAAGTGTTCGCTTTTTTTTTTTTTTTTATATTAATCTTAAATCACCAACATGTCAACCACAATTTTTGGAAGAATTTGAATTTTTAAAAAATGTATTTTTGTACCACTATATATGCTCATGCCTGTGTATCTGTTTATATCTCTGAGAGATCATGAGAGGGTTGGTGCTCTTATGGCTTTTCATTTTATTAAAAGTTACAGTGGTAGTGCACAGGTGGCACAGAAATAAAGTAATTTACTGTGTTGTGTGTATTTTACATTAAAAGGACATGAATGAAACTGCAGCACAAAAGGGATTTAAATGCATTTAAGTTATGGTATGATTTAATGAACATAAGATTTGGAATTTATATACAGTCATTTCAACCCTGATTTCTTTTCACTGCATTGAAGTTGATACAGATCACTGGACAACTTAACCCTCACCATGAAACATGGTGTGTGCAGACAAGGTCTGCAATAGACAAGAGGAAACTCTTAAGCTACACGTTATAATCAACATATTATGTTGATATAATCAACATATTATGTTGACATATTATGTTGATTATAATGTGATCTCTTTTCTGCAGAAATCAGGTTTTGTCTTAATAAGACAAAATCAGGTTTTGTCTTAATAAGACAAAACCTGATTTCGTGCAAGTGTTGGCTTCCTCTTTGAATCATAAATGTTCTGAAAGTCACAGCTCACGTGAGCAGCTTGTTCAAATAAAGACCACAAGTACTCAACCAAAACCACTTTGTTGTCAGTTTCCTAAACAAAACCATGTACTGGGAGGTAGTGATTCATATTTGCAAACAGCGAGTGATTCATCTGAACAACCATGAATAGGAACTGCAGAAAAGAGATAACAAACTCAGTCGTGCTGTACCAGACACTCTGATAAGATCCTGCTGGTTCCAAACTAAACCAGTATCACTGTCTTAGTATTGACTTAATGATATACTCAAAGACTGGAGTCCAGATATACAACGCAAGTGTTAAGATGAAGAAATGGCATAAGTTAAAGGGACAATTCACCTTAAAATCAAATATACATATTTTTCCTCTAACGTGTAGTGCTATTTATCAGTCTAGATTGTTTTGATGTTAGCGGCCAAGTGTTGGAGATATCAGCTGTAGAGCTTTTCACACTTGGCTTTTGGTGCTCAAAGCGCCAAAAAAACAAACAAACACAGCAGCAGTCAGTACGTTTACATGCACAGCTTAATCGAGCTATGCTCAAAATTCGATTTTGGCATCTAATCGGACTTCTGTCCTTGTCCCAGTTTACATGCAACTGAGCATCTTCCTCAACACTAGGTGGACAATATGGCCCCCTTTCCGGTTGACCTATTACGTCACTTTTTTTTCGAACAGCAGCAAGATGGATAATCGTACAGCTTCGTTCAACTCGTACGTAATGTACGTGTTACTGATTGTGCAGATAAGGTGCACGCTATCCCTCGTGGTCATGGTGATTTTGAGAGGCAGACAAGAATGCCGTATGCTGTTGGAGGGCTACAACAATAGCATGTCTTGTCTGTTCCGGGGTCATACGCCAGCGCGGGGGGTGTGGAGCAGGCAAACATGCATTGTCTAGTTTAACTCCGATTACGGCGTATACATCCCGGAGAAAATCGAATTCCAATTGCATTATCTGTGTGTCTTAATCGGAGTTGGAGAACTCCAATATTAGTCGGAGTAACGCATTTACATGCACTTCAGTTGTCCAGTTATAGTCGGATTAAGGCAATAGTTCATTTTTTTCAAGTGTCATGTAAACATACTAAATGTCTCTTTCCAGAAACAATGACCCTCAATATACTTTACAGACCTTGTTGTGAGCAGTTTCATGTAGGTACTATTTTCTCTCTACTGAATTACACCCGTAAACCGTATCACTTTGCAGAAAGCAGCATGCACCTCATGAACCGAGGACTCAAGTCAAGTCAGTTTTATTTTTATAGCACATTTCATACAACAAGAGATATTAGAGAAATATTAGAGATGTGCTTCTGGGTGTTAAGATCAGCATCTAAAAATCACACCAGAGTTTTTGACATAGAGGACACCATTAGTTATGTTGCAAAGCTTGTGCAATCATATTTTCATCATCTTTAAATATTTCAAAAATACAATCAATTTCAACTTTTTAAAAACACAGAGACAAATTTATACGCCTTCATCTCCCCACGCCTGGATAACTGCAACAGCCCCTTTTTTTTGCCTGAATCAAAAATCTTTTCGTCGACTCAAGAACGTAAAGAATTCAGCAGCCAGGCTTTTAACCAGACACATCACTCCAGGTTTAGCCTCTTTACACCGGCTCCCAGTATGTTTTAGAATAGATTTTATGATTACTAATTACTAATTATTTTTAAGGCTCTTCATGGTCTCTCCCAGCTATATCTCCGACCTCTTAGTAGTACCATACGTGTCAGGAGGTACTTCGAGGTCCTCAGGCAGCAGAGGCCTTTTTTCTGTGACAGAGGTCCAGCTGAAAACTTAAGGAGACAGAGCGCTTGCTGTCAGGGTCCCAAGACACTGTAACAGTCTGCCCGTAGAAATCAGGTCGGCCAAGTCAGTGATCTTTTTTAAGTCCCTTCTTAAAACATACTTTCATCGGAGAGCCTTTCCTGATTTTACTTGAGTCTTAAGTTCATTTAAACTGTCCTTTATTTGCTCAGTTTTTATACACCAACGCGTTTTTATCAGTTCTTTTTAAAGTTTTCATGTCTTGTCTGTTTTAATTATTGACATTTAACACATTTTGTAACCCTGTTTTGAGAAGAGCTTTATAAATTAAGATTATTATAATTACATCTTGTGCTGCCACAGTATGGGAGAAGTACTCGTGAAATGTATTTTTTTGCACTTTGAGCACCACAAGAAGAGTGTCATCTAGTTCCATTACGTTGGAGAGAAGGCAGACATCTCTGAAGCTGATATCTCCAACACTCAGCAACTTGCACCAAAACAATCTAGACTGATAAACAGATTGTACAGCTGGACTCAAATCTCTGAGTGTACCATTAAGTCAATATTAAGACAGTGATACTGGTTTTGGGTTGGAACCAACAGGACCTTATCAGAGCATTAGGTGCAGCATGACTGACTGTTATCTTTTTTCTATGGTTTCGTTTCACGGTTATTCGGATAAATCACTCCCCATTTGCAAATATGACTCACTACCTCCCAGTACATGGTTTTGTTCAGGAAACTGAAACAAAGTGGTTTTTATTTGAACAATGGGATGAACTGTCCCTTTTAAAAGCATCTTAACAGCTGATGAAGTTAAAATTAAAGCAGAAGTTCAAGTCATTTTTCTTCACTTTGTACTCCAGGGCATTTTATCTCTGCCTTGGAGCACATATGGCACACACACACACACACACACACACACTATTAATCTGCCTCAACATGCTGAGACTGTTATCACACAGATGATGGCAGTGTTGCACAAATTTGTCGTCAACCAAGAGAGGTAAAAAATAAAAAGAGTCACTTTTCCATAACTTTACAATTTAAACTGTGTTTAAGATGTGTGTGTCTAACTGTGGAGGTAGGCTGGCGTTTGCAAGATTGGTTTGTTTGTTCATATCAGCTGTTTGCTTTCACCAAGTTTGAATATTTAAGCTGAGGAATTAATCAGGCATATTTCAGATGGATGTTTTCCATGACTTTCTCTCCTTTCCTCACAGATTCTTGAATGTCTATCCAAGCTACGGACCTACATTGACTTATTCTCTATTCCTAAAACCTGATTTTTAATCCTTTATGTGGCTGGATTAACTGGCCTGGTGCACTGGGACAAAAAAATAGCCCCCTGCCTCTGTACATTGTTTATGTATTAGTAATAAGTGATTAATCTGCAATGAGTTGATGAAGTGCAGATTAATTTAGTAAAATGCAGCATGTAAGAACAATATGTACTGAAGTAATAAAGGCTTTAAAACTGGATTTTAATTTAGGGCCCCTCTACAATGAATAATAATCAAACTGTCAGGCTAAAGAATGGAGCTATACGAATTGTAAATTGATTGGATTACTACACATAAACCAACACACTATTCATCATTTTACATGCTTTAAAACATTTGTGATCTAATTCAGTGGTTCCCAGTTGGTCCAACAGGGTCCAGATCTCTCCTCAGTCCACACAGTTTAATATATTGAACGGCGTCATACTTGTGTTTGGCCATGTCGTCAAGCTAGTTTGCTGTCTCAGTTAAGTAGCTGTCTGTTATTCACTCACTCTACGGTAGGAAATGGCACTTCAAAATAAAAGCTCTGATTAGGAAATTTGCTGTACTTCAAAATACAGCGTGTTTATTACAAACTTGAAACATTTGCACGTCGCTTGCGGTCCATTCAGATTACACCTGTGAACCACTTTTGGACCACCAGTTGGAAACCACTGATCTAGTTTATCTTAAACTACACAGATACAAAGCACTAAATCATTTGCTTCCTGACTATATTCAGAGGTTGTTTGAAATCATTTGCAAATTGAATTTGGGTCAATAGGTAAGTTTAAAACTAGAATAACTGTCTTGTGGTGAAATGCTTCCACCAACCAGTAAAGCTGCAGTTACAGCTGACTGCCATGTCCTTACAGACTCATACAGTATATAGCCATGGCAGCAGAAAATGCTTCAAATATGGATGTTAAATCATGGATGCTTCACACAGATCCTTCCCCCAGCAGCACAGAAGATCTATACAATCAGCACAGTTTCAAGATGTACACCAAAATGTCACCAATTCAGTATCTAACCAAATGTCTCCCCTTCTGTTCCTGAGATATGGCATTGAATAAAGGCCAGAAAAGTGTATTTGAAGAGCATTATGATGTCACAGTGAAGCTGACCTTTGACCTTTTGGGTATAAAATGTCATCACTTCATCATTTTATCCTATTAGACATCTGCGTGAAATGCTGTCATAATTAGCCTATGAATCTGAGAGTTATGGCCGAAAACATATTTTGTGAGGTCACAGTGAACAGATGTGTGTCTGTTGAAGGGGTTAACTTCTGAAATTGCTGAGCGGGAAATTATAAATGTATAGTTCATTTTGCCAGTTTAAAAAATGTTTAAAAATACGGTGGTGAACAAATATATAAAAAAAATGTATTCAAAATGTTTGTAACTTTGTTTCTGTTTTTTTGTTGTTGCATAAAACCACTAGTGAAATGGTTGCTCATTAGAATGGGTTATGTCAAAAGGGTAGGTATACTAAATTTAAGCTTTAACCTACACAATTTTTTGTTGTTTTTGCTTTTAATTTAATGCCGTACTGTCATTTCTTCTTTGTTGTATGCATTCTTTTTGGAAAATTGTTAATATGGACCAAAATAAATTAGGTTTTACCTTAAAACCTTAATCAGTTCGCCCTGTGAATTGCTTGCTATTGTCAATCTCCAGTTTTTATAATTAGTTTAGTTTACTGACAAGTCAACAGGTCCAGCTCATATAGAAGTTTAGGAGCGCCCTCTGCTGGACCAAAAGGCAAACTACTTCAGATGGTATTGTGCTCTTTTTGACTGTACAATATTAAACAGGTGATTAAACATTTATTTTTTCCAAGTTCAAATTAAAGTTTGAAGTTCTGATAAAAAGTGACAACTCCAAACAAACTAATTTTTACAAACTTATTGAACCTGAAGTCTTTGGCCCCTCTGATGGTCTGTGGCTGCAGGGCACTTTCCTGCTTTGCCTGGTTGCTAACCCAGCCTCAACCTTTTTCACTGT